TTTGGACCTTGAGGGGAAAGCAAAAACCAAAACGAGAAAAAAACCAAAAAACTTCCTCGTCCTCTTCCTTCCAAGGGACTGAGACTAGCAAAATAATGCTTTCGAGCAACCTCTGCTTGACTCTATGACAGCATTTGCCACGCAGTTCTATAATTGTCAGTACTTATCTGTTTATGTGTACTCCTTAAACTTTGGGCATCTTCTTTTCTCCTTATTTTATTTTAATTTAGTTTAGTTTAGTTTAATTTTGTAGAGACAAAGTATCCCTATGTTGCCCAGGCTGGTCTCGAACTCTGGGCTCAAGCAATCTTCCCGCCTCAGCCTCCCAAAGTGCTGGGATTATAGGCATGAGCCACCGTGCCTGGCCTACTTTGGGCTTCTTAAAGGGTAAAAAGAATTTTTCATCAATTCTTGTATTCCTAGAATATTAGCATGATACCTAGTACATAATTATGTTTTGTTAAATAAATTAATTCAATTCAATATTACCATTTCCTGTACCTAGTACAGTCATGCATTGCTTAACAATGGGAATATGTTCTGAGAAATGTGTAGTTAGGTGATTTTGTCATTGTATAAACATCATAGAATGTACCTACACAAACCTAGATGATATTTTATTTACATATATTTTGTAATACAGAAAATCAAATGTCCCAGCACCATTGCTGAATGCTAATTATTTCCCCAACTTGATCTGCAATGCCAACATCACATCAGGTTTCTAAATGTATGCTGCCCTATAATCTGATGGGACCACTGTTGAATATTCAGGCCATCATTGACCGAAGCATTGTTATGCAGCTTATGACTGTATGTGCAAAGACTGCTAAGACCTGATGGGATCAGAGATGAAGGAGTCAAAGTTCTACCCTCAAGGAATTTATAGTCTTATGGGAGAAATAGATACAGGCTTAAAACATTTAGGAACCAAGGCATGAGTGACAAATGTGATTTAAGTCAAAGCGACTTAAGCACAAAGTATTGTGAGACTTTCAAGGAGGACTAAGTGAAGCTGACTGAGGGGAAGAGGCAGGTTCCACAAAGAAAGTGGCATTTGAGCTGGGCCTGGTAGGACAGACCAGTGATTTATCAATATAGGTCATCACTTTGGTGATTAAAAATCGGTGACTTTATGCTTGTAATCCTAGCACTTGGGAGGCCAAGGCAGGAGGATCGCTTGAAACCAGGAGTTCAAGACCAGCCTGGGCAACAAAGTGAGACTCTCTGCCTCTGCAAAAAAATAAAATAAAGGCCGGGCGCTGTGGCTCACTTCTGTAATCCCAGAACTCTGGGAGGCCAAGGCGGGTGGATCACGAGGTCAGGAGATTGAGACCATCCTGGCGAACACAGTGAAACCCCGTCTCTACTAAAAATACAAAAAAATTAGCCGGGTGTGGTGGCGGGCGCCTGTAGTCCCAGCTTCTAGGGAGGCTGAGGCAGGAGAATGGCATGAACCTGGGAGGTGGCAGAGCTTGCAGTGAGTGGAGATCATGCCACTGCACTCCAGCCTGGGCGACAGAGCGAGACTCTGTCTCAAAAAAAAATAAAAATAAAAGTAAAATAAAATAAAATAAAATAGCCAAGAGTAATGGCATGTGCCTATATTCCCAGCTACTTGGGAGGCTGAGGCATTAGGATCACTTGACCCAGGATTTTGAGGCTGCAAACGACTTATGACAGCACCACTACACTTCAGCCTGGGTGACAGAACAAGACCTCATCTCAAAAAAAAAAAAAAAAAAAGGTGAATTTAAACAAATCCTTCAGAAAACATTTTGTCACCTTATAGATATTATATATCTTTAGGGCCAAAGGCGAACGTTTTATACCTGGGCTCTGGAATTAGGACCTCAGAACCAAGATCAAGCCAAAACAGCCTTGGTTCTTGGTACACCAATGGGGGAAGACATTGCTTCCATATACAGAAATACATACATTAAAGACATTCAATTCAGAATGTCCTAGCATGCTGCTATTTCTACTCTCTTTAAAAACAAAATAAAGACTGGGCACGGTGGCTCACGCCTGTAATCCCAGCACTTTGGGAGGCCAAGGTGGGTGGATCATCTGAGGTCAGGAGTTCGAGACCAGCCTGGCCAACATGGAGAAACCCTGTCTCTACTTAAAATACAAAAATTAGCCAAATATGGTGGCATGTGCCTATAATCCCAGCTACTCGGAGGCTGAGGCGGGAGAATCACTTGAACCTGGGAGGCAGAGGTTGCAGTGAGCCAAGATCATACCACTGCACTCCAACTTGGGTGACAGAACGAGACTCTGTCTCAAAAATTAAATTAAATTAAATTAAATTACATTAAAAATAAAATAAAATAAACATCTTCTCTTGACTCCACTTCCTTGACTATCACCCCATTTCTTTGATCTGCTTTGCAAAAACCTCCTGAAATGATCTCTTTGTTTTCTGTTCTTCTCCCATTCTGACTTAAATCCACTCTTGTCGTGCTTTCACCCCCATCAGTCTGTCAGGACCATTCTTGTCAAGGTCAACAGTGACTTCATTTTTACTCAATCTAATTGTCAACTTCTAGTTTTCTTTCTACCTGATGTATGACCAGCTTTTGATGCAGTTGACCATTGCCGCCTCTCTGTTATACTTTTCTCCCTTAATTTCTAGGATATTACTCCAATTTTCCTCCTACCTGACTGGTTATTCCTTTTCAGTCTCCTTTGCTGGTTCCTCCCTTCTTAGACCTCTTAATGTTGAAGGGCCCAGGCCTCACCCTTGGTCTTCTTCCCTGCCTACACTCCCTCTCTTGGTAATCATGTCTCATAGTCTCAAGACTTTAAATGTAATCTATATTCCGCTGATTCCAAAGTATTTATCTCTAGCCCAGACCTCTCCTGAACTCTATATACATAAATCTTCAACTACCTACTTAACATGTCTAAAACTGAACCCTGATCCTTCCTCCTGCCTCAGTTAGAGACTTGACCATCTCAGTTGATAATAACTTCATCCTCCCAGTCTCAAAAGCAAAAACCCTAGAAGTCATTCTTGGAGTCATCAGGAAGTCATGTTGGCTCTATCTTCAAAATATATGCAGGGTCTGGCTAGACATAGTGGCTCGCACCAGTAATCCCAGTATTTTGAGAGGTAGAGGCAGGAGGATCACTTGAGTTTAGGAGTTCAAGACCAGTCTGGGCAACATAGTGAGACCCTGTTTCTACAAAAAAGTAAAAAAATTAGTCGGGCACGATGGTATACACCTGTGGTCCCAGCTACTCCGGAGGCTGAGGTGAGAGGATCAGTTGAGCCCAGAAGATTGAGGCTGCAGTGAGCTGTGATCACTCCAGCCTGGGTGACAGAACAAGACCCACCGCCCTCTCTATATATGTATTTATGTATGTATATATGTGTGTGTGTGTGTGTGTGTGTGTGTGTGTGTGTGTGTGTGTGTGTATGCAGAATCTTCTTATCACCACCTCTACTGTTCAAGTCACTATTGTCTCTCCAGCCACTTACCGTAGTAAGTTTCTACCTTGGACCTTCTTCCACCCTGGACATACACAGTGCCCACCAGTGCATTCTCAGCACTGCAGCCAGTGTGATCTTTTTGCACTCCTTTTCTCAAAATCCTCCAAAGGCCTCTTATTTTACTCTGAGAAAAAGTTCAAGTCCATGCAGTGTCCTGCAAGGCCCTTCATGATCTACCCCACCTCCCCATCCCTGCCCTTACTTCTCTAGCCTTATCTAGGGCTTCCTTGGTGTTCTCAGACATGCCAGGCGTGCTCCTTTACAGGGTTTTCACACTGGCCGTTCCCTCTTCCTGGTATGCTCTTCTCCCAGAAATGCACATGACTGATACACTCACCTTCCAGTCTTTGTTTAAGTGTCTTTGTTAAACCTTCTCAATGAAGCCTACCTTTACCACCTTTTTAAAACCTGAAGTCGGCCACCGTTCCCATTATTCCTTATTTCCCTTACCTGTTTTACTTTTTTTGTCCCTATTGTATGTATTACCTTCTAACATTCTATATAATTTACACTAGAATGTAAGCTACAGAAGGGCAGGAATCATGGTTTCTTGTTTCACAGCATATACCAAGCATCTGGAACAATGCTTAGCACATACTAGGCCTCTCAATAAATATTTATCAAATAATCATAGTTCTCTTTCTCCAAGACCCAAGTGCCTTGATTGTTTTTCACTCAGTTTGCTTATCCGAGCAGACAGTGGGGTAAGACAGGGAAAAGTAGGCTGATGATCGGGGTCTAGGGTCTAGCCTGGGGGCCACACTTGTTATTTGTATGACCATGGGCTAATTATAGTTGGGCTGGGTTTGTGAAAGTTTATTAAGCTATACTTATGATATATACATTTTTTGTATGTATATGTAAATTTTTTAAGTTTTCTATAATAAGACTCTCTGAAAATAGCTGCTAGTAACACTATGGGGAATATCTTCACATATTTTATCTCTATATGTAGACTTTTGAGAATAAAATTGAGATTCTACATGCTTTTTCACAAAACCATGCATCATGAATATTTTTTGTAACATGAAATATTCTTCTGGAGCACGATTTTTAATGGTTATGCAAGTATTTGAAAAGAATAAGACACTGGCCACATGCGTTGACTCACTCCTGTAATCCCAGCACTTTGGGAGGCCAAGGCAGATGGATTGCTTGAGCCCAGGAGTTCAAGACCAGCCTGGGCAACATGGGGAAACCCCATTTCTACAAAAAATACAAAAATTAGCTGGGCTTGGTGGCACGCACCTGTAGTCCCAGCTACTTGGGAGACTGAGGTAGGAGAATCACCAGAGCCTGGGAGGTCAAGGCTGCAGTGAGCTGTGATCGTGCCACTGCACTCCAGTCTGGGTGACACAGCAAGACCCTGTCTCAAAAAAAATAAAAACAAAGATAAAAAAAGTAAGACGTCATGCAGTGAACCACGGAAATATCATTCTTCCTTTTTTGAGAAGTTGAAATTTTATTTTAAGAGGTTTTGATTTCTTCCTTTTTCCCATAGGAGACATGGTCTCAAAGTACCGAGAACCTTTGATCCACACCTTCCTGAGGGGAGTGAGAGATCCCGACGGTGCTCACAGGGCCAGCAGCTTGGCCAACCTCGGGGAGCTGTGCCAAAGGCTGGACTTTCTGCTGGGCTCCGTGGTCCATGAGGTACTGTATTTTGATTCCTTTCTCTAAAGCTTGTTTTCACTTGGACCTATGATGCATCTTGAGATTGGGAGTCAGGAGACCTGGGCTCTTTTTGCAGATCTGCCACTGCCTCCCTGTGAGACAGGGCAGGTGAGTCATTGAACTTCCCAAGGCTTCATCTGTCTCACATGTATATTGAAAATTATGTTAGTAAGGGCTGGGCATGGTGGCTTGCACCTGTAATCCCAGCACTTTGGGAGGCCGAGGTGGGTGGATTGCTTGAGGCCAGGAGTCTGAAACCAGCCTGGTCAATATGGTGTAACCCTATCTCTACTAAAAATACAAAAATCAGCCAGGCATGGTGGTACATGCCTTTAATCCCGGCTACTCAGGAGGCTGAGGCAGGAGAATCCCTTGAACCCGGGAGGCATAGGTTGCACTAAGCCAGGATCACACCACTGCACTCTAGCCTGGGCAACAGAGTGAGATTCTGTCTCAAAAAAACAAAAACAAAAAATTATGTTAGTAAGAATTTCATAGTTATAGCTGAGAGGAAGTCATCTTAACCTGCCTTAAGCAATAAAAGATGATTTATCATAAAGAGTCTAATGTAACTAACAGAATTGGAGAAACCGTTAGGAAAAGTAGATAGAGCTTTACCCTAAGTCTCTGAGACATCTGTGAGTCTTATCTCTACTCACAGAAAAATCTCAGGCAAATAAATCTCAGGCAAATACTCTAATTGACCCTCTTTGGCTGAGGCACCGTGTATTCAGGGGGATGGTGTTGTTTACCAAAAAAACCACTTAAGTTCCATATTTTGCTCAGCATTTCACACCCAGTGCCTGGTATGTAGTAGGCAGTGAGTAAATTATTGAAAAGATGAATGGTGAACCCTCAAAAGGATAGCCATGCAAGGTATTGGGACCAGAAGCTCTTCTGGTTTTAGAGTTTATTATTATTATTATTATTTATTTATTTATTTATTTATTTTTTTGAAACAGAGTTTCACTCTGTCACCCAGGCTGGAGTGCAGTGGCGCAATCTTGGCTCACTGCAACCTCTGATTCAAGTGATTCTCCTGCCTCACTCTCCCATGTAGCTGGGACAATGTGCCACCACACCTGGCAAAATTTTTTTTTTTTTTTTTTGAGACGGAGTCTCGCTCTGCCACCCAGGCTGGAGTGCAGTGGCGCAATCTCAGCTTACCGCAAGCTCCGCCTCCCAGGTTCCCGCCATTCTCCTGCCTCAGCCTCTCGAGTAGCTGGGACTACAGACACCTGCCACCTCACCCAGCTAGTTTTTTTGTATTTTTTAGTAGAGACAGGGTTTCACCATGTTAGCCAGGATGGTCTCGATCTCCTGACCTTGTGATCCGCCCGTCTCGGCCTCCCAAAGTGCTGGGATTACAGGCTTGAGCCACTGAGCCCGGCCCACCTGGCAAATTTTTATATTTTTAGTATAGACAGGGTTTCACCATGTTGGCCAGGCTGGTCTTGAACTCCTGACTTTGTGATCTGCTCGCCTCAGCCTCCCAAAGTGCTGGGATTACAGGCGTGAGCCACCACTCCTGGCCCCTCTAGCCTCTTAAATTGTATCTTTACCCTGTATTTATATACTTATCATTGTATGAGTGTATATCTTGAGTATCTGCTGTGTGTACCTACTCTGCTGTTTACAGATGATGATTGACAGAAAAACACTAGTTAACATGTGGCCAGGGGTCTTTACTACCAATGTACATGACCATCTTAAGTTTTTAAAAGAAGAAGATGCCTTATAAATTATAAATAAGTAAGTGAAATACAATTTAAATTATCTTTTTCTTTTCTTTTTCAAATGGAGTCTTTAATTCTGTCGCCCAGGCTGGAGTGCAGTGGTGGAATCTTGGCACACTACAACTTCTACCTTCCAGCAACCTCCACCTTCCAGGTTCAAGCGATTCTCCCACATTAGCCTCTTAAGTAGCTAGGATTACAGGCATGCGCCACCACGCCTGGTTAATTTTTGTATATTTAGTAGAGACAGTGTTTCACCATGTTGGCCAAGCTGGTCTTGAATTCCTAGACTCAAGTGATCTTCCTGCCTCAGCCTCCCAAAGTGCTGGGTGGTGTCGGATTTTTCTTCTTAGTCACTTTGCAAGCCAGGGACCTCTGGCTGGGAATGCCCCATCCTGCCTCACTTGGCTATGCTGGCGTGCCCCAGCTCACCTGTGTTATAGCTTGTACCACATTCAGCGGTTCCCAAGCTCTTGTACCGCACCCAAGAAAAATGAGGATACACTGAGCATTGAAGGGTGAGGAGGGTGGAGAAGAATTTTGTTGAGCGATGAAACGACTCTCAGCAGAGAAGGGAGCTGGAGAGAGGATGTGAAGGGCAGGTTGTCTTCCCCAAAATCAAGTTGTCTCTTCCCTGAAGTCAACCCGTTTCCTCCTCTACTGACTGAGTCTGGGGTCTTCATAGGCACATGATGCATGCTGATTGGTTTGTGAGTATGCAAAAAAGGTTAAAACAAGGGACCTCTCAAAGATGGGCCTGACAGTATAGAAAACCAGTTAGGAGGGCCGGGCACGGTGTCTCAAGCCTATAATCCCAGCACTTTGGGAGGCCGAGACGGGCGGATCACGAGGTCAGGAGATCGAGACCATCCTGGCTAACATGGTGTTACCCTGTCTCTACTAAAAAATACAAAAAACTAGCCAGGCGAGGTGGCGGGCGCCTGTAGTCCCAGCTACTCCGGAGGCTGAGGCAGGAGAATGGCGTAAACCTGGGAGGCAGAGGTTGCAGTGAGCCGAGATGGCGCCACTGCACTCCAGCCTGGGCGACAGAGCAAGACTCCTTCTCAAAAAAAAAAAAAAGAAAGAAAGAAAACCAGTTAGGAAATGGTAGATGTATGTAAAATAGGTGAAGAGTGGGCACCAATCAGAGGAAAGTGTGCCAAACAGGAAGACAAGTTTTCAATTCAGTCTGAGAATTTAACTTGTAGCTTAGCTTTTGGGCTTTAAACTGTCTTCAGCTTGGAGGTGGGGTTGCACTGGGTACCTGCCGCTATCTGCTTAGGTGTTTGGCTGCTGCCTGTAGATATCACTGGGATTACAGGCATGAGCCATTGAACCTGGCCTTTTTTTTTAATCTTAAAGCAAAAACTCTTTAAGACCAGGTATGATTTCTCATTTTCTATTCTTGGCATAAATTTTAATTCTTTCTAGTGGAACCAAAACCTCCTGAACCCCTTTCAGTGTCATCCAAATCTTAAACTTCTTCTATTTCTGGTTTAAAAAATTTAGTTCACGGCCGGGCGCGGTGGCTCAAGCCTGTAATCCCAGCACTTTGGGAGGCCGAGACGGGTGGATCACGAGGTCAGGAGATCGAGACCATCCTGGCTAACATGGTGAAACCCCGTCTCTAATAAAAATACAAAAAACTAGCCGGGCGAGGTGGCGGGCGCCTGTAGTCCCAGCTACTTGGGAGGCTGAGGCAGGAGAATGGCTTAAACCCGGGAGGCAGAGCTTGCAGTGAGCTGAGATCCGGCCACTGCACTCCAGCCTGGGCGACAGAGCGAGACTCCGTCTCAAAGAAAAACTAGCCGGCTAGGTGGATGGCGCTTCAGAAGTCCAGCGCTTAGGAGGCTGAGGCAGGAGAATCTCGGGAGGCAGAAGCAGCAGTGAGCCAGATCCGGCTGCACCTGGGAAGCCTGGGCGACAGAGCGAGATTCTCCGTCTGCAAAATTTAGTTCACAAAAATGAGCTGGGCAACATAGATGACCTTTGACTTCAAACTTCTTTTTTCTTTTCTTTTCTTTTTTTTTTTTTTTTTTTTGACACATTGTTTCACTCTGTTGCCCAGGCTGGAGTACAGTGGCACGATCTCAGCTCACTGCAACCTCTGCCTCCCCGGTTCAAGTAATCCTCTTGCCTCAGCCTCCCAAGTAGCTGGGATTACAGGCACCCGTAACCACACCCAGCTAATTTTTGTATTTTTAATAGAGACAGGGTTTCACCATGTTGGCCAGGCTGGTCTCAAACTCCTGACCTCAAGTGATCCACCCACCTCAGCCTCCCAAAGTGCTGGGATTACAGGCTTGAGCCACTGCGCCCCACCAACTTCAAACTTTTTTTTGCCAAAATTAAATAGTACACGATCAACATGTACACTATAATCTTTCTCTCTGACACCAGTTCCTACATCTAGAAAGTGTTTTGCAGCCAAACCAGACCATGGAGCCACTCTTCCATAACACCCAGAAGGAAGGGCTGTCTGAGTGTCCATTTTCACAAGAGCTTTCTCTGTAGGTGGTATTGTATCATCATAGGTACTGTACAGGTCATAGCTCGCAACCTGCATGGATCCCCGGGTTGAGGCCATGGGGTGTTCAGAGAGCCAGACAAAGCAAGCTGCGTGCTGCCTTCCTCTGTAGGCCAGGCCTGCTAGCTGGGGGAAATGGCAAGTGTCTTATCAAAGCAGGGCATGGCAGAGTGAGGAGGTAAGTAGAAGAGAGGATCAAATCTGTTTGTTTGTTTGTTTGTTTGCAGTGGTGGAATCTTGGCACACTGCAACCTCCACCTTCCAGCAACCTCTACCTTCCAAGTTCAAGCGATTCTCCCACATTAGCCTCTTAAGTAGCTAGGATTACAGGCATGCGCCACCACGCCTGGTTAATTTTTGTATATTTAGTAGAGACAGTGTTTCACCATGTTGGCCAGGCTGGTCTTGAATTCCTAGACTCAAGACTCAAGTGATCCTCCTGCCTCAGCCTCCCAAAGTGCTGGTGGTGTCGGATTTTTCTTCTTAGTCACTTGGCAAGCCAGGGACCTCTGGCTGGGAATGCCCCATCCTGACCTCACTTGGCTATGCTGGCGTGCCCCAGCTCACCTGTGTTAGCTTGTACCACATTCAGCAGTTCCCAAGCTCTTGTACCGCACCCAAGGAAAATGAGGATACACTGGATATTGAAGGGTGAGGAGTCTTCAACGTGATGGAGTCTTGCTTCGATTGTGATGGAGTCTTGCTCCGTCACCTGG